TGCTTCTTGAGACAAAACAATGGTGCTGGTATATTTTAAGATTGTCACTGCAAGTTTTTTTTCAGGTAAAACAGCTCAAACGTGCATTTTAGTCTGAGACTAGACTAAAGTCTTATCTGTGAAACCAGGGGACAGGGCTCTGGTTCCTAAATGGATGCTGTCACAAAATGTAACATCTGACCTCTCGACCCACACTCGTTGATATTATATTGATTAAAACCTGTCAAGGGTCAAGGTGTGGACATGAGCGATATTTCAAATATTCATGTAAAAATAGAAATTAACTCCACAGTTAAAAATGTTATGAGAATAATTTAGAAATTAAAAATAATAATAATAATAATTTTATATCATACAGAGATACAAACCAGTTATTTTGATTGAATATTTCGAAGTGTAGATTTGAAAATCATGCTTTTCCCCGTTATGGTTGAATCACAGAAGCTACACCAGTTACTTTGCCAAGAGATCTCTTATTTATTATTTTTATACATGTATCAAACACACGAGAGAAACAGGCATAGAGGTGGTCTTCATTCCAGATTGCTCTGTTCCCCATTTCTCTATCCTCTCACCCCATCATGCCAGCTGTAAATGGTTTTTCTGTGTTTCTCCTCCCTCACCCCGTCATGCCTCTGAGTCAATACAGTAAGGATTGAGCTTATATACACCACTCTGGGACTTACAACTTCCTTGTAAGGTAGCAAAACATGTTGCTTATGTTTAAAAAGGAACGTATACCTCATGCTTACACATGGTACAACATACTCTGACTTCACAAAATACATTATGAAATTATTATTATTATTATTATTACTATGAAAATGAATAAAGAAAAATAATAATAAAATATAACATTAAACAGTACATTTTTTGTCTTCAAGAAACCTTTGATAAATTATGCTGCCTGGCTTTTGCCTTGTTCTGTCGCGCAGTGGATGCAGCAAAAATGAAAATAAAAGGCCATTTTAGAAAAAAAAATCAATGTTCAGATCAACCAGTATGTGTCCCTGTACAAATGTTTCTTGCAATACTAGCAAAAAGCTTTTGCATTTTTTAAATGCAAAACTCATGTAAGGTTTCTTTCTTATTTTAGATTTTCAACCAATGAAAGAGAAACTTGATCACATAGGCTGAATGAGGTTAATCTTGGAAATTGGGTCACGAGGAACATTTTTGCTCTGTTTAGTCTATGTAAACATGTCTATATTATAACTGGGTTGCTGTTTGACTGAGATCACTTCATGGGTCTGATGTCAGTGAGACAGGAGAAAAAAACAATATGGTTAATGTTAGGAGCGTAATATTTCTTATTTCTGATTCAGATATTACTGTATGTTTATGATGTACATAGGCTATAATAAAATACAAATTTAAACAAAAGTGGGAGAGCATGTTTTGGACATTTTGAGACAGTCATTTAAATGTTTCAAATGAATAAGCATCTAGGTTTTCCCCTACATTCAATACTTAGCATTTATAAAAAGGAATTTTTATATAACTTCTGTATTTCGTATTATTGCAATATTCAGCCATCACAATAGCATAGAACATACTACAGTGAAAAAAAAAAAAAAAAAAAAGAAAGAACATACTACAGTGTCATTTTAATGTCCTTCTTTCTCCTCTTTCACTTATTCACATAGTCATTTATGCTCTCTCACTTATGGTCAAACAGGCTTTAACTGCATAAATTACAGTAATACAGCCTTTTCTGAATGAGTGTCCCAGATTTTAAAATAAACTATCCCAGAGTATGAAAAAAGGGTCACATAGTATATATATATTCCCATTAAATTCACCCTAGCATTATGTGCCTTGAAACAAATATTCTGCTATTGCAAAAGAAATGGAACAACACTAGGTGTTTATGTTTCAGCAATTGACATTTGAAATGATTTATTTCAATAATTCCTTAAAATAACTTTGTTTTAGCTACTATTTGTAAGTGGTGAAACACTTTTCCTTTACATATTTGCCAAGGCAATCATTCAAATGTCTGGCCATGGTATATGATGTCAGATGTGATTTCCTTATATCTCATTCTGTAAAGCAGAGAAAGCAGGGTCTGCGACCAGTGGAGTTCAAATCCCAAGTCACAGTCTATGGACGTTTAGGCTTTCTAGCTTTTGACCACTAGAGGGCAGCATTTACCTGAATGTAAAATACAACAGTCTAGAAAACAAACAAATCTCTGGCAGTCTGTTTGTTACTCACTTGATTTCACTGTGTTTGAGAAATTCAGTGGTCACAAGTCACTATTCATGTCCACTATCAGTCAGTCTCACTCAAATGTGCTGTAGTGTTGAAGGACTGTAATCGCAGTAGCTCCATTTCCAAAGTTACTCTTATTACCCCATTACCAAGTCTACCTTTTTTGAAAAGGAAGTAAAAAAAAATTAGCATACCTTTATAAAGTGTAGCCTACTTATCACGGAAATATTATATTTTAAAAGATTATACTTAATAAGTGCAAAGTGAATGTAATGTTTTAGAACTTTATTGCATGTTAAGTGCAATTAAATTCAAATGTATTCAATTTGTTTTAAATGCAAGTATCTAATCTTTAAAGTGCTGTTTGACATATTTAAGTTGGACTTAATAAATTACATCTTTATATGAAATTTCATAATTTGATTGTTTTTAAATATGGTTGAAGTATATGCTTGCCAGCATTTATGGTAAACTAATGTCATTTCTACTGAAACGTGTCTGTCATATATTTAAATATATTTTACACATGATGTTGAATTTTAGTACTTTTAAAATATATTGACTTTGAATGGAACATTGAACAATGTTTAATGTTAAAATTGTAATCAAGTTTGCATACTACAATTTCTTAAAAGTACACAGTACAATTAAGCACACTTTTTTTTCAACATTATCTCTCTCTTTCATTCTACCGCTCCAACACCAACAGAAGGTGAAATGGCATGACAACAGGTACAGTATGAAGACGAAAAAATAGAAAACGAGAGATTTCTTCACAGCTCCTTTATCATTGCAAACTGCACATTTAATGCCCATTCAGTGTATAACACACGGATCTGAAGCAAATACATGAACTGCCATGTGCTGAACCCTGCTCAGAAATCCTTCTTAGGCAGAAGGGGAAGCATGTGCAACAGCAACCACACAGAATTACTTGTTTGCTGAATGGTGAAAATGTCTACTCTGACAAAAAACACTCATACTGGGCACCTGTTAGCTTGAGTTGTTCCAACTCACTCTTTCTGAGGAACACTTTGTTGTATTTGCTGAGCCGTTTTGTAATCAAGTGATATAACAAAGTTCTTGTGCTACTGTGATCTTATCAGCTCCATGTTATGCTGTTCTTACTCAACAAGGGGCAATTGTTCTCTCTATGCCGGAAGATGTAAAACCTTAGAAAGATCCTACATTTGAGATATTTGTTCACTTTTATACATGAAAAGCTCACAATTGTAAGATGCCTTTCAATTAATTATGATACCATATACAGTAGCCTATATGTTAGGCTTAGTAGGTTATAGGCTAAATGGGTCTTGCATTTCAGCTTTAGTGGGCGTAGTTCCACACACACACACACACACACACACCACACACACACACACACACACGTTGGGTTAACATGTTTTATGAAGACATTCCATAGACATGATTTTTATTCTGTACAAACTGTATATTCTATCCCCTAAATCTGTGTGTGTGTGTATAGCCTCATCGAGTTTTTCCTCATCAAAACGTGAAATATTACATTTAAAAAAAAATCTATTTTAATATATTTGTATATCTGTGATGGCAAAGTTGAATTTTCAGCATCATTACTCCAGTCTTCAGTGTCCTTCAGAAATCAGTCTAATATGCTAATTTGCTGCTCAAGAAACATTTCTTATTATTATCAATGTTGAAAATAGTTGTGATGCTTAATTTATTATATTAAATTGAATTGCTTGTTTTTGATCATTTTTTTTCAGAATTCTTTGATTCATAGAAAGTAAAAAAAAAATAAAAAAAAATAATAATTTTAAAGTTGACATGAAATGGAAGCTGCTATAGTCTTTTCTTCCCTATTATGATGAGTGAAAAGGCTTCTGAACAAGTAAAATTGTAGATTCGGATTTGATTTTGTCCATATGAAATTGATTGGATGGTTGTAGTTTGCTATTTCTGTGATGTCATGTGAGTGACAGGTTACCCCGCCCTCACGCCAGTAAACACGTCATCTGAGAAGAGATGACTCTGCAAGAGGGATGGGAAGTTATTTTGATTAAAAATTACGAGGGTAAATTAATTTTAAAAAATGATATGCACGGATAAATGTTTTATATGAAATACTTTAGAAATAGGCTATTTATAATAAAAACTGCAACATTCCAAATAAAAGAAAAAAATAATGAAGTCTAACGTTGATACACGTTAAATAAATAGGTATACAGAAAAATCGGCCCCATATATATATATATATATATATATATATATATATATATATATATGGGGCCGATTTTTCTGTATAAAAATCGGAAAAATCGGCCCCATATATATATATATATATATATGGGGCCGATTTTTCTGTATACCTATTGGGCTCTACATGTGTCAGTTGTGTGCCAGTCAGTCAGTCAGTCTATCGGACGATATTAGCGAGGAGGAGGAGGTCACATGTCGCGAGGAGGAGTCTCCGCTGAAAACAGAAAGCCTGATGTGCAGCAAAGAGGACCAGAGCACAAACTCCTGCTGTCAGTATACCAGGACTGAGGCTCTATTATAAAGACTTAGGCTATATGCGTGCGCCTTTGCATAGGATATATTTTTGGCGGATTTTCCGTAACTGGCCCAAACATACTCGGATTCATCAACTGTTTGTTCAAAGTGCATAAGAGATGGAACTGGAATGCCGTAAAAGTTTTATGTGGTGTAAATCCTCTTCTTCAAATTAATTCGCGCAACTTCAAATGAGGACACTTAACAAGCAGCGTTTCTGGATAATGGACATATTTGAACAGGAACGACATCAGTGAACCTGAACGACTTTGTTTCTAACTCGAGCGTTGGACGCGCTTAAGTTTACTATGTTGTCAGATTCAGGTTTAATTGCGCGACGGAAGGATTTAATGCAAACATTAATGCAGTAAGCGCGTGTGCGGCGCGTTTCAGCGCGTGCGTGTGATGTGCAGGACGCAGTCAAGACGCTGATGCGATCCACTGATGTCCTCCGAACAGGTGAGCAAAACACTGTAACTTAATAGTGATCACCTAAATAGTACAGTGACCATTGCTACTAATGTAAATGTAAAACCATGATAGATTAAAATTGGATCTCATGAGAATCCTTCTGTCATTTAAACTTTCTTGATGACAGAGGCATCTACCAAATTACCAATTGTATTGCAGTGACAATAACTTTACTAACTACAACAATTTGGTTCAAGTATTTAGGTAGCTACTGTACTTTAATGTTGCTATTTTCACAACATTAATAAAATAGCATATGCAAATACAGCTCTACAAGTCAATTAGGCTACTCTGATGTGAATATATAGGAACATAATCTGTAAAATCAAGTAAAAAATAAAGTTGTGTGTAGAACAAATAGCATAACACAACATTGTTCTGTTTAGGGGTTTGCTTTTACATGTTTAGTTGTGGTTCAGATGCCTGTTCTCTCAACAGTTGGTGTTCCGAGTAAAGGAACTACCAAATATCTACAAAAAAGTCTGAGAACAGTGCTATTTGATCGATTTTATAATTTAATACAGATATCTCTCTCATGTTTGTTGATCCAAACCGTATGACTTTTTCTTTCTTATTCTCATGCAATTGAATGGAGACTGCCGAGATTTCAAGCTTCAAAGCGGACTCAAAAAACACCATAAAATAATCTAGCCTAATAATAAAATTAAAAAACCTGGTTCATATACAACTTCTCTTCTAATGTAATTGAAAACAGTTGCTTTGTGTGAGGAACAGACCGAATTTTAAGTCATTACTGATAATATCCCCTGCCTCCAGTGAGCTGTAACTGCTACGACTGGATCATTAGGTCAGTGAGTCTGATTTGTGATGAACGAATCATTCAGATCAGTTTTGTGAACTGGTCAACTGATCTATCGAAAAGAACAGACTAATTTGTGATTCATTCACGACTCAAATAATACTTCTCTTGCTAATTATTATGAGAACACCAAGGAGAGCTACACAAGACAAATAGCCTACCAAGATTGTTTCAAATTTCAATCTTTTTCTCACACAAAACTATTGCATTGCTTCAGAAGAGTCAGATATAACACATCGCGTGGATCACTCTGGAAACATTTACAATGTTTTTATGCATATTTTGATCTTTTTGAATCTTGAATGCATCAGTAGGCTACATATTCTTTTTTCAATCTTCAACAGATAAAGAGAAAGGTTTGAAACAACATGAGGATAAGTAAATGATGACATAATTTTTAATTTGGGGTAAAATAAATAAATTAACAAGGTCAGAACAAACTGACTTTATTAGTAACCGAAAGAAATAGTGGAGAATCTTAAATGTTTGTCATTATTTACCACCATGTAGGTAAACAGGAGCACGATTTTTTTTCATTGCAAAAAAATATATAATATTGTTCGGCTTTTTATCTTTATGTAAAGTAGGTGTATGTCTAACTTTATTGGCATGCAGTATCTATAGCATATCTCTCCTGCTTAATTGCTTGTATCATTACAAAATGTAAACTATATTATTGCCCATCTCTAATCTGCTAAAGGCAACTATAAGGCATAAAGATGTTAAGATATTATAAGCATTGCATCATGATTTTCTGTAAAGCTCCTTTAAAACAAGCATTGTGTGCTATACAAATACATTTTATTTGACTAGATCTGAATTAATATAAAGTAACTTTTATATGTATAAGCATTTCTGACAAAAATGGCCTTTTCTCTGTCAATGTAAACAGTTCCAAAAGAAGCCAATCAAGTTTGAGAATTAGAACTGATGCATAATTATTGGGGGTGTAAGGATACCCTCATGTCACGATTCGATACATATCACCATACTGAACTCACAATACGATATTATAGCGATACTCCAAGACTTTTGATAAAAGGTTAACAAAAAATGTACTGTTGATTAAAATGCTAAATTTGGTATTACATTGGGGGTGTAAATGAAATGGTGACACCAGAATAAAAATATTCATGATTCTGAAGCTGAAAATACAGAATTATTTTAGACGAATATGCTTGCACTCTGTCACTGGGTAGACATATTTAGAATAATGTAGGCCACTTTTTACTGAAAACAAGACATTTGGCTCTATCAGGACCCACAAATATTCCCCCATTGCATTATTATACAATATATTCAACATTATATATAATGTAGTACGGACACTAAAACTCTGTAAACTTGATTTTTTTCACACAGTAATTTTCATTTGGGGTAAATTAGACATGATACATATTGTCACTATCACGATATTAATGCATTTTTGTATTGCGAAATATTGTGGCACATGATATATTGTTACACCCCTAATAATTTTATATGAACCAATTTATTACCAATATAAATGTTGCAAAAAACTTTTCATTGTTAGTTCATTTGTGTTTCCCAAAACTGCATGTCATAGTGTTCTCTCTTTATTTACATGAATTTGTATCTGTCATTTAAAAGTGTCCTTTATTTATTATAATACTCTGCATATAATCTCCTCAGGAACTCATCCGTGCCCTTCACCAGCCAAGTCTTGACCTTCCAGCATTCAAACAGTGAGGCACAAGCACTTTATTTTTGAGCCACATTAACCCACACTGCTGGTCGCTTCACCACCTCAGTGGACTCATGGGTACCGTACTATCCCTCTCGCCGGGTACTCGAAAACCTGGTTATTATGACGACCGGCCCGGTTCTCTAAGCCATTACCCAAGCCTGAGCAGCCGCTCGCTGAACACTCAAAAGGACCGCAACCTCAAACGCCATTCCATTTTCCTCCCCGCTCTCACCTGGAAACGACTGGTGGCCTCCACCAAGAAGCGGGGTGAGTCCAAAAAAGCCTATCCTGGAGGTCATGGCGCCGTTGGGGCTCCTCTCAACAACAATAACATCTACCAAAAGGATCCGGTCTTGCACCTAAACCACGAAAATGTGAAAAAGTCTCTCTCCTGCGCCAATCTCGCTAGCTATGAGGGTCCAGCGGGTCTAGGCCTGGGCTTGGGTTACGGAAAACCGCAGCAGATTTCCTCTGTTAAGAAGAATTCGCCTACATGCACTTCCACACCCAAGCGTGTGATCGTCCAGGCCTCGACTAGTGAGCTGCTTCGCTGCCTGGGCGAGTTTCTGTGTGGCCGCTGCTATCGGCTCAAGCACCTTTCCCCCGCAGATCCGGTTCTGTGGCTGCGGGCTGTGGACCGCTCACTCTTGCTCCAGGGCTGGCAGGACCAGGCCTTTGTGACCCCAGCCAACGTGGTGTTTGTGTACATGCTGTGCCGTGACGTGGTGGATGGCGACGTGGTGTCTTCAGAGCATGAGCTCCAAGCAATTCTACTAACCTGTCTGTACCTGTCCTACTCCTACATGGGGAACGAGATCTCATACCCGCTCAAGCCCTTCCTGGTGGAGGCGGGTAAAGAGGCATTCTGGGACCGTTGTCTGGCCATTATCGACGTCACCAGTGCCAAGATGCTGCGCATCAACGCAGACCCGCATTTCTTCACGCAGATCTTTGCCGACCTGAAGAGCGAAGGAGGTTGCGCTTTGCAGGACTACGCTAGAGTTCTGGATTGGTGAAAAGAGGACCTAACAGATTTTCTCTGCGAAAGTGACACCGTCAGCATCCCTCACCTTCATTCTGGCCCCCATATGCCTTGTCACAAAACAGTGGGACTTTTATGAGTCTCCCTTTTACTGAGAATTCTGCAAGAAACAGAAAGATGCAACATATTCCTGCTGAAAAGACTAGCTTAGACCTGTAGTAATGTCCAGGCTGGTTTATGTTGGTTGGGTTGCTGGTCTAGCTGGTAAACTGCACAGTCTTTTAGTGGTTATGCTAGTTAAGAAGCACGCTGATGACTATCTGTGATGGTCTTTTCAGCAGGAGAAGAAAGTATATGGAGACAGCATGAAAATAACATACACTCATACAATGAAGGTTGATTGTTGGCATTGATGGAGAACCTTTAACATCCATGGGACTTTTCCATTCCACAAAAGGTTCTTTAGATTATTAATAAGTTCTTCACACTTCACACAATGGTGCTTTTAAGAACTTCCCTGAAAGGTTCTTTGAGGAACCAAAAATACTTCTTCTATGGCATCACTGCGAAAACCCCCTTTTGGCACCTTGACTTAGACAAAGGCTGTTCCCAACTTATTTTTCTAATTCAACTCCCCTATCTTTAAAAAATACACATACTAATTATTTAGGGATCAACATCACTTTGAAGGGAGTAATTGTCCATCTACAGATTATGTTTGTTAGTTATGCTTTTGTCAAAACCAGCCTTTTTCAGAAGTAGTTACGATTCCTTTGCTAAACCTTTCGCTTCCTCTACCTTTTCAACATCTAGTCTGAGATAAACTGCAACAGAAACCATATAACAGCAAAACTTTTAGTGGGAGTGCACGTGTATGTGTGTGTGTGTGTGATGGGCAGCAAACAGTGAGCATCAACAGCTGTTGGTGATCGTGTTGTCCTTCCTTTATTTCATGTGCTGGACGTTAGGGCACCAACTGCAAAGGCATTAACAAGATTAACAGATTAGTGTCACACGCGCACACACACACACACGCACGCACGCACACACACAGAGTTCTCAATGCTTCTCTTTGCTCGCCAGCTCTATAGGTTGAATGGGTAATCCATGTAGGCCATACACACTATGTTCTGTCTTGCATGTCTTGGCATTCATAGCAGTACAGTGTCATTGAAAATTTGTATCCGGTTTTAATGAGTCTATAAGAGTAAGTCCTATCCCTCTAGAGCAAGAAATATATGAACAAAGAAGCCTGGATTCTCTAAAGATAGATTTAGTCTCAGTGTCAGACCACTGCATCTTCTCTCTTTAGAGTTTTTCAGTTTCTTTGAAATATCAGATTTCTATGCTCTAAGGTCAACATGAAATCAACATTTACCCTATTTATTTTCCTAACATACACTCCTGGTCTTATTTTTGCACGATTCTTCAGGGCACATTATTCCTAAATCCAAAAAAAGTTCGGAATCGTCCATCAAAGCCACCTCTGCCTCTGAAGCTACTTGCACAAAGAATACGTAAAAGTAATAGATAAAACATGCAGATACAACAGATGCCATCGTCTCTGGGTCAGGGTTTCAGGTGTCAGCGCTCAGACAGAAGAGCAAGGACAGCAGCATGTGGCACGGCAAGCACTCGCTAATCTTATTGTAGAGTTTTAAGGCAGGGTCATGGGTGCCATACTCCGACTCCCCTGCAAAAGTCAACTCTAAACGCATACTTCAGCCCACACATGCTCTCATATATGAGGACATGCTCACTCAAACGACCTGTAACCACTAAGCATTCATTTTCAGGCTAGTAATCGCAAACGCACTGATACGCATGTGTATCTGCATGCAACTTCTCCCACACGCCGAAGCGTTAATCCGCTATTGATCCTTGCCAGCAATTAGGCAGAGTGAGCTGAAAATGCCACAATAACAAAATACCATTCTGATCAGAAGAGATTTCTCTTCCTGAAACTAACAAAAAAGACACATCTTGTATTTTGACTGTGCGTTGCACAGATGTTATGCAACAAACATGGCAAAACAGAATAGTGACCTTTTAACACGTACTTAAATACATGCTTAATTGCGAGGGATTGAAAGAAAATACAAGGTTTCACTATAAAATGGTTTACCCTTGTGAAAAAGAAGTGTGCTTAATTTTATTGAATGCACAATTGTAGTTTGTTTTTATTGTTCTTGCAGATAATATAATTTAATGTTAATGGTATAAAAGGCCACAAGTGTACACTTTCTTAAATTAAACGTTTTACTTTAAAGTATATTTTAAATTATTTTGTTTTAATAATCTTCTGCCACGCTTTAAAGAAGTACACTTCTGTAATGTATAATTACAAATATGTTTAAGTACATATATACAAACAGTACACTTTGAATAATGCTTAAAGAGCACTACCAAATGTATTGACAAGCATTTATAAAACTTGTATGTGTGCATTTAAATATATATATATATATACATACAGTATATCCGATTATAATAAATTTTAATTTAATATGCTAAAGTGTACTTCCTTTTCACAAGGGTAGAGACCTCATAAAATCCAGATTAGAGTTATTGTGGCTTTTATTTCATGTTTGTTAGCTTTGAAGCATAAGCTATGTTCTCCAATAAATGGGCAAAATAACTTTTAGCAGATATGCAAATGAATGTTTTTTTTAAAAGTGCATTTGCATGGTGTAATACTATAGGAAGATACAGCTATTAAGAGAACACAATTTGAAATATGACCACGTACACTCTAAGCATGAGTTGTTTTCCTCAATTTGTAGCAGTCTTCATTTGTGACCCTACAGGCTGCTTTGTGGTCACACTAATTTTTCCTTGCTAAACAGTTGCAATGAGCAAGAGATTCAAACCTACAGAGAGTTGGTGTATCTACAGTTCTCCATATCCATTTCAGCCTCAGGGGATGATGTTATTTAAAGAAACTTGTGGCCATAGACAAAAGATTGGCATACTATAGGGTGTAAATATCCCTCCTGATCCGCTGTGATTCCCCCATCCTTCTCGCCTTTCACAAACATATCACTTGTTTTCCTCGTCCTGGTTAAAGTGATTTAGTTTGCCCCTATTGTGTACAGAGAGCGTTGACAGAGCGCCGTTGTTGTATTGCTAGCGTGCGCAGCCTCAGCAATGGGCTTGTGCGATGTGTTGTCTGCTGTGTTTCCAACTAGGACTGTGTGCTCTCACACTCTCGTGTCTGGCTCGTCTCCATGCTCCTTTGCTGGAACTCTTTCTCCATTGATTCACTCCCATGTGTACCGAAGCTCTGGGATTTCTCTGGAATATTTGCTGCCTTCAAGTTCTCCTGGGAAGTTCCCAATTATGAAGTTTTATGACATGATGTACGTTCAAGTGATTTTGGTTAGAATAAAATGGATGTTTTACGCATATTTATTTCCTTTTTTTTCACTTCCTGACAATATAAAGGAAGCACAAAATGTGTAACTCATTAGCTTTATTGCTAATCCTCATCATCATTACACAAAATGCATTGTATATTCAAAATGACACCTTATTATGATCAATATAGTCATGATTTTTTCATTGATACGACCCCGACTTGGAAAGCAATGGGTTTCTACTCATCATAATTACGGCATTGTAGTGGCGTTCCTGTGAGCTGGTTTGAAGGCAGCAAGTATTCTAGTTTCCATACTTGCTCTGAACTTATATTTTTAATGTGAAACGTTTGTGCCTTGATCTGGATATAAACTGTCTACCTAAAGATTAGAGATATTGAATATCGCTTTGTTAACAACACACACGCATAAACACGAGCCCCAAGGAAAGCCATGACTCAAAAAAGGATTGATTATAGAGACTTTAATTTACTCAGGCTAGAATAATCATATCTCATGAGCCATTTTCCACTCCATCAATGCTACTGTTTGGCAGAATCATTTCTTCTGTTGCCAGTCAATCAAATGGACCTGAAACCGTGTGCAAACAACCTTTGAAGGACGTGCTTGCACAAACGTCCTCATTACACCTCAAACGCTTCATCGACTGCTGTACGTGGAGATTTTTAATGTGACAAGCACACAGAGACCTCGAATCGCTATGGATTTTCCAACGAAGAAAACTTCTGTCATTAGACAGAGAGAAACTTGTGGGTGGGATGACTGTCATGTGATTCTCAAGTTTAAGACTACTGAATTAAGACACTATACAACATGTGGCTCTTTATTTGGACACTCAGGATCTGGATGTTGAGTATGCTTCGCCATTACTCTATGAGTTATGGCTACTTTATCAATGTTTTCTATGCTGCTAAATGTATGTAGAATACAAAAGGAACGCCATGTAGAGTCTCTCACCGCAGAGACAGAAGCATAACCAGTGTGGTGTAAATATGTTGCTTGTATCAATGTGAAATGACTGAAAAAACTGCATGTATATCATTCAGGAATTGCTGCTGTGGTGGTGTACATGTAAACTTGACTCTTTTTTTAATTTAATTATCCTTGTTTTTTGTATTTCAGTTTAAGGTTAAAAGGAAATTCCAGAATGTTTTGTTTGTGTTTTTATTATAATGATAATTATTATTTTTTACTGAAAAAGATCCTATCAGCTCATCCCAGGTTTGGGAAATTATATGTCAACAGTATTAGAATGTTAATTTCACACTTCTGTTTGAATTGTCGTTTTTTTGATGTGGTTGTTTCAGTGACAGCTTGTTCTGTGCACTTTGGCAATTATACTGGGTACCTTTGCTCTGAATACTGATATTTATATAAAATAAATCCAGCTTTGATAGTGCTAAGGCATCATAGACTCTATAGCCTGGGTTGTTGAAATGTGAGGGTCAGGGTGAAGAGAGTCGCATGCTTTCGCCAAACAGGAAGCGACAAACATTTTGCTGTTGTCATTTCCTCTGTGGTGATCATGAAATAGATTGTGGAAAACAATCTCCACCAATAGAATTGCCATTGGTCAGACAAGCATTTAGTCCCACCTCTAACCATTGGTTAAGTCAATGTTACTGTGCCAATAAGCTCATTCAACGAGCGACAATTTTTGCGCTCTTTGGGGGGAATTAAACTATATACACACATCAGCTTTAACCAATTCATCAGAAAGACATGGGAGGACACAGAAAGACTGTAACGCAGTCTCAATAATCATCTCTCCACCCCTGTCTTCACCTCTATTTCAGCACAAATGGTATTCTGGT